TGCCCACCACGGGTATCGAAACCCGGTTTTTAGCGTTGTAAGTCCGCAGACACACCGCTGTGGACTGGGGGGGGGGGGCTTCAGATAAGTAATGAAATATTAAAACATGTCTGTTTTCATTGTTCATCTAGAAATAAACCTAGCCATAGGAGTTTTGAAAAAAAACTTTAGCCTTTATAGAGAACAATTTTTAAAATTTGTAACTTAGAACAACGGTATTTAACGTGTACGATAAACGATAAGATACTGCTGTTATTGTTGATACTTAGATTACAGATAAAAAATAACAACATTATGCACTGAAATCTTACAAAGTCGTAGTCACGTGGGCATCGAATCAGAACCAACGGCTTCTTGTCAGTTTCCTGAGAAATCTCGACAACCAAAGATCTCACATTTTTAAAATCCACCTTTCGTAGTATCTCCCCCTTGCGGTTGATTGTGTAAATTGTATCGTCTGGTCCGATCTTTAACTTTACCAGGCGCTTAAAATTGTGGTTTACCCATTCCTTTACATCTAAAATATCAGGTAAAAAAAATTTGTTAATTTTATTTAAATAGAGGGTGTAAAACATTATAAATGTGCACAGTTTTTTTTCTAGTTTACATAATTGGTTATTCTTAAATAATTTAAGAATGTTTATATTATTTTTGTTAGTATATATATTTACGGAAGTAAAATTTTAATACAGTACTACTATGAAACTTTCATAATGCTACAGTTTTAATAAAAACAACTTCAGTTATTAACTTTCTAATAGTATTATTAAGAGCTAAGCTTACATTTTAATCTTTCCCTAACTTTCATTGTTAATTAACAACACTATCATCGTTATAATGAAATATTTTTCAACACTATGCCAGTCAACAATAATTAATTCTTGATTCCGCTGTTAAATGCTAAAACTGGATTTTTTTTTTTAATTCCATTACGTACGTATTTCAAATCAAAATCGTGTAATAGTAGTAGTTTGAATCTGTGTTTGTTAGGTATTCGATCGTCATTACCAATGAGGCCTTTCGTACAATACTAAAACTTATCAGCTGGACAGGACATGACAGAAGACAAGTCGAGCCAAAACATTACTTTATATGCAGTGCGAAACATTGCGTAATAACGTTGATATTTAACGACAATAAAAGCAATAAAACCCAATAATCCTACTAATGAACAAAATACCTCATTGGCAGCGACACGTGTAAAACAAAAGATAAGATACAAAATGTTATGTGAAATAAAATCCGTAAAAGATTAAACAACCGAAGAACGAAACTGCTGCTGTATAATAAGATTTTTATCAAAAATATTAAGGCCTATAAATCTTGACAGAGTTAGGCTTACATAATATGCTAAGACTAATTTTTTTTTTTTTTTTTTTCATAGAGATTCGATCTTGAAAAGTTTTTAACAAACAGAAGTAACTCAGACAAAATTGGAACATTACCCCACCCTCAAAATTCAGTAATATGTTGCATGGTGTTCTTTCACTACCGATGAAAAAACACGACATAAGTAAGTATGAATTTTAAGTATTCTACACGCACTAAACTCCATCTTTGTCCACTGACAAAATTCATTTCTGCATACTTTCGAATCTTTCTTTAATTATTCAAAAATTGTTTTTAGGTAATCGGGGGGGGGGACTAGTCCCCCTTGCTCTTATCAGCATACGCTTTTATCATGAAACGTTTTAATATAAGTTTCTAACAGCTGAAACTCCAAGTATTGGTGGTCATCTAATTCAGTGTTTCCCACACAATGGGTCGTGACCTACCGAAGAGGCGCGAATGTATACGAATATAATTTTCCGATGAATAATAATAATAAAACATGCCTAAATCCCCTTAACAGTTACGTTCACGGTTTTAATAGACATACTTAAGTATTATATCATGAAATTCGCTAAAAGAAAAAAAAAACGTTGTAATGACAAAAGATAGGAAACTAGTGTAATTCGATCTCCTAAAAAAGTCAACTTACAAAGCTTTTTATAGCCATTCTCCGTTTTATCCCTTATTTGAGTTCGACATCTCCTCCTCCTGCGATTTTGGATTTTAATGACAGCGTAACCCAGGCCAGCGCAGACTGGAAAAAAAATTGTCAACAAACAAAAAATAATCAAGCACTCACGCCGTAGGTTGTTTCATGTTATAATAAGATATAAATCAACTGTAAAATACACAATTAAATGTTCACACATGCTGTACTGTGGTTGTTTTATGTCACATTCGTGTTTTTTGTTTAACGTCTTGCATTAACTTTAATAATCTACGTACGTTCTACCCAAACGACACGTACTCATCAATTTTTGGGTCAGCAAAAGGTAACAGTACTGACCGACAAGTTACTGTGTTCGAAACAATGATGGGTAAACAAGCCTGCATGAAGGACTTATTTCATTGTAGTAGACTATCAGTAAATAAGATTTCTGTTAACTCTCACCCATAACTGTACTTGAAAATTAAACAAGTCAAACGTTTAGCACTTAATCAACCCCGATATTGTAAATTACATCGAGTTAAATAACATGTCTTTGCTTTTATAAATAAATTCTTTTTATATCTTTCGTTTATAATTTAATGTCTTGAAGATCAACTCCAAACAAACATCCACTGAAGTTGTTATGATCAGGAGAACGTGTTAATAATTGTTGCTTATTTCCACGGTTACTCCAACAATGAAAATTAATAGTTTGTATAGCATCAGTGAAAACTACATGACTGTAATAAGAAATATATAGTTAACCGCATAGGCGACAGATATATTAAAATTAAAGAGTATATTAAACAATGACAAAGTTTTTTTTTAATATTTCTACTTAATGAAGGGTGACGTTTCAAGCTGGGGCTCTTCGTCAGATCGTAAGCAAGTTGTAAGAGCTTACAAGACTAATACTTACTAATTGGTATGAACGCCAGTGCCATACATGAAAAAATGAAAGCCACTTCACTACCGTGAAAATAGTCGTAACTTTCCAAGAAGATGCAGGGTCCGAGATTAGAACCGTTAAGTTGCATCGGTTGTGGACATGGGTCGCCTGCGGAAAAACGTCCGACGTTAGAACTTACATTAAAAACAACAAAAATCACGAGGTACTTGACGTACGAGAAAACTCGAAAATATACAATTTGATAAAACTGGATAAGTACAAAACATATAGTGCTATATGATGATCGACTCACTTCGTGACCACATGAAAACACGCCGCGTGAAGGTCAACTCACCTTCCGTCCACATGAAAACATGTTCTTGAATTTGACCGGGTTGAATGCTTGTAGAGTCTATTATGATGTCATACAAGTGAATTCCCCGAATTTTCTGAATTTCTTCCGGTGTAAAAATCCTTTAAAAATATATCACATAAATTATCATAAATTCGCTCAGTGTTGATACTTAAAGCTAATCTCGAACCAAGACACTCGTTTACGACAAAGATGTCTGCTCATGGGAACAGTTTTATATGTAGCACAAAACAGAGAACCCGATTTGTAGGAATCAAGCCCCGAGATAAAACATAGCATAATTAAGAATCGTTTCCAAAGATCCTTTTAAAATTATAAACAGATTTTAAAATGCTGCTATGAAAAATGTCAAGAATTAGTGGTAGCTACACAAACTCAAGCATATTTTAAAAGGAATAAAACATGACAGATTACTCCAAAATACTTTATTGGTTTTATTTAAGCCAACGTTTCGCCACTGCGGCTATATCGGGGCAAACAAGACACTAAACCAACTGATTTAGGCTTACACAAAATATTTCAAAATAATTCGAGTCATAAGCTTATTTCAAGTTAGTGTTACAGGTGAAGGAAATTAAAAAAGGATACAACCTTGATTTCAACACTATCTGAAAGTGTAGCTTTTAATTCTCAGAAATAGATAATTTTTAGAAGTTGAAAAATTGTAAAAGTTAAAAGTACTGTCAGTAACGAAGATTTCAAACTTGGCATACGGCCTAACGAAGTTACAATCAAAATACAGTACATTAACCATGCGAGTTTCCGAAATAACTCAAAACCGTAATTACTGTTTTAGACGTCACAATGGGACCCAGTGATGTAAACTTGACATAGAACAGATAAAACTAGGAAATATTGAAGACCAATAATAAATAGTAAGATTTATCAACAGGCCTATTTCTGAAATATTACCTCAGGGTATGAAAAAAACAAAAAACTGCCGACGAATTAGGCCTATTTCTGAAATATTACCTCAGGGTATGAAGAATTCGTCGGCAGTTTTTTCTTTAAAAGAGTATGAAAAGTAAGAAAAAAGAACTGTCGACAAATAGACCTATTATTGAAATATTACTTCAAGGTATGTAAAGAAAGAAAAAGAACTGAAGGAAGCGTGTGTTGTTAATGAACACAATGTGTAAGTGAGCATTTGTTACAATTTAAATATTCCACAAGGTCAGAAATATTAAAATAGAAAACTTGTGAATTATTTTTTAAAGGAAGAATCTATGAAGGTATACACATTAAAAATTTAAATAACCCCTAAATATTGTAAGGCAATGTTCTTATTTTTTTATTATTTTGGTCAATAATCTGATTTCCAACAATTAGATTTTGAGGTGCGAATACATCAACACTGATATAGCTGAAAATAAAGTTTGTGATTTTATTGGTTTGTCAGTATGCTATATGAATGCTTGAAGTCTGTAAAAAGAATATGGATGGAATTTCAAAGGAATTACAGTGTATAAAATTTGATTTTACTTATTTGATATTTGTAGAAACTTAGCTCACAGGTGATGCAATGTTTGCCATTTAGGATTAACGCCGCATATTTTCCAGATAGGAAAGATATAAAAGGTGGCGTCTTTCAAGCCAATATTAAAGAAAAGAAAGAAAATCTGTAGCAAAGAATGTTGGTTTTGAATGATGACACTGAACTTGCATCATTAATAATTTTAATTTAGAATGTCCCTGAAGGCTACCTGAATGCGATTTAAAAATATATTGTTGCGTCAGAGAGGTCACGTGACTAGTATCACGCCACCAGTTTTCTAGAAATATCCTGTTCCTTCGGGAGTGCCCTAGCATTTGCTAGATTGGGGGTGGACTGGTATATATATAAGATGGTCACGGCGTGACGGGACAATGTGTAGGTAGTGAGTAGTTGAACTGCAGTCAGAGAATATTGTTGAAGTTGAGCACGTTCGTTGTTATAGCGCGACTGTTGAAAATAAGTGTATCGGTAAAGAAAGAATAAACCAGTTTTATTAAGAAAGGACTTGTGTCGCTAAAGTTTCGTGGGAACGAAGTTACGGAAAATCAACTAACGGACGGAGACGTAACAATATGAACATTTTAGAAAATATTAGGTATTATAACAATCATTTTATAATAATACTCTAAGAAGTGGTATCTACTATATTACATGCTGTTATTTTTTATTTTTTTGTATTTGTGTTTTTGATTAATAATGCTTTTTCCCGTTAGAGGGAGTGCACTTTATAAGTATTTTCTTTGCACGTTATGTTTATTTTTCATGTACTAGATTTATTTCTTTAATACTGGATGTCAGATTTAAGTCGAGTTGATTCTCTTCTTAAATTTACACAATCAACCTAAAATGTTAAGAAAATTAAGTAATAGAGAAACCGAATGTGAGGCTAAATATGAATAATTAACCCCAGTCCAGTTCTATAATAATAGAGATGATTACCTATTTCTTTCATTTTCGAACCAGAATCGGTCTGCTTTTCGAATGTTCTGGAACTGTTCCTTGATGATCTTCCTGAATAGTGAACCTGGTTTTCCTGCTCGAGTCTCCAGCATGCCACCAACAAACACATCAAGCTTATCCACACTGCCGTACAATTTTTCAAGCTGTTGACTTAACTGAGAAAGAATTTAAAAAGTATCCGACATTTTGTTTTACTAGTTAGTCATGTCGTAGAAATGTGATGTCAGGTTAAACCTGGAGAAACGTCGTTAAAATAATTAAAATGCACGTTCAATAAATCTAACAGTGTTGAAATGATTTGCAACAGAGCTCCAATTTTTAATTCATGACATTGTTAAAACTAAATCACTGTTATATTAATAACTTTGAAAACAAACTTTCATATTGTTGGAAATAAGAACCGCTGTAGGTGTTGATATCAAATTGCTTACATTCTACCACTATGAGAGGCCTAACATTTTTTGTTTCGCTCTCTCAAACAGTAGTTAGGGGCCTAATTGAGAAACTAGTCTACTGCAGAGGGAGTAGCGAATCAAAGACTAGATTAGGCTTTTAACGTCATTCACGGAATGTTTGTTTTTTGCCGAAATTTCGGTGAAATAAAAATAGAAAAAAAAAAATGTTTGTTTTACATCATATCGCCGTCGTTGTTAACAAGCATCTTGCTAAGCCTCATTACACAACTACAATATTTTTATAACAAAAAAGATTTAATTAATTATAAAAACTGATTTAACAAACAAGCTGAAATGTACTGTTTAGATTCAGTTGATGAATATCTTACAGAAACAAAAATATTATTTACGCTGTGTACAATTACTCTGTTAATCTGTTTAAGGAATACAAGCCTTACATTAGGTCGTTTCTTGAACAAATCGGGATTTATTTCGGCCCACGAGGACACAGGTGGGAGCTCGTGGATCTTCCGAACGGTATTGTAGTCCGAAAGGCCGCTGTCTCGACCACTCATAATGTTAATAGCTCCAAGGTCACGACGGGTAAAGTGGAGAGGACCAAACAAGTTGTCTGGTGGGCGGAAGAAACTTGTCAACAAAACTCTTCTGTGACCATTATTAAAGTGTAACGTAGTCAGCTGTAGGTTCATTTAACCTATCTATACGGTCTGCATATTCTTTTTTTTATTTTTTAAAAGTTGATTTGATAAATCGAGAAATTCAAAATAAACAGAACGTGGTTTCTTAAATATGTATAGAAATAAGAGCTGATTAAAATCAACATATCTGTAATATAAACAAACCACAGAAATTTTATTTATCTGTACAATTCAAAGTGGTTGTTGGCCGCAGAAAAAAAACAAAAAACAACTAATTACAGGGCTGTTGGACACTGTCGCAGAAAAAAAATATATGTTGATTCAAGCCTAACAAAATTAGTGTCCTAATCTTAGTTTCAGACGTTTTAAAACACACACACACTTTCATTCGTACAATATAAATCAATCAATTTATTATAGAGTATTCTTTAAAATTATACGTGATAGAATTAAGCTTGCTTTGTTCGAACAGTATTGACGGCTATTTCCTAGCGGTCAGTTAACTATTACTTTAGAATCGTCCACAAGAGTGTTGGTGAAACTGACCAGAAATCAGTTTCCAATCCTACGCCATAACAGACACACGCACTCTGTGTGTCTGTAAGGAAGTAGTAAGAACACGAGAAAATCAGCACTATATAACAATGATGAAACCGACATGTCAATTATGAGACTATAAACAAATAAAAGACAGATGTCCGTTGTCAGTTCCTATGAACAACAAAGCTGAATAACTTAATCCACGCCCCTCCTTTTCGATAGTCAGAACATTTTCTACCCTGTGTTGTGCCCACCACGTGTATCGAAACTACGTTTCTAGCGTTATATGCCCACTGTGCCACTAACCTACACTTTAACAGACTGGAGTACATCAAGCCTTGTTCGAAAGCTAAACTTTAACCCACTGGAAACTGTGGATAAATCTAACATGGTTAACATTTACGCACAGAAAAAGTTTGTATTTCACGTCAGACTCTGACGTAATAATCACCTCTGACGTCAGAACAAAGTAATTCATCTTCTTTTTCTCCAATCTGCGAGGCTAATCCCATTAGAATCTCTTCTAGCCCAGTTTCTGGGACAATGACCTAGAAACAGAAGAAAATTTACTTCAAGAAACTTGTATTTGACAGTCGGAGTCTGGCTGTGATCCGGCTCGTTTAAACGTGCCTCTAACATAAGAATTAACATTTGTTAAAAACAGTTTGCTCAGCCATTAAAGGAAGAAACCATTTCCACATTGTTTTCACTAAACAAACTAAATTATTTTATTATATTTCATTAAATATCCGAAATTTGTTTTGACTCACGGAACATACGTTCTGAAAGTATTTTATTGTTTAATGATTTTCTCGTTATTTACTTACTATAAGGCCACTTTCCTTTAATATGAGTTTGTTTGAGTAGCTCTAACACTAAAATCAATACTGTTCCACTACCAGAAATAGATGTTACTAAATGTTTCGTCGAACACTGTAACACTACCACAGTAAGAGAAACAGGTGTTACAGAAACATGTCGAATGCTGCTACACTAAGTGTAGCTAATAACTTTCATTGTTACATGACTTGTGATAACTTACATCAGATTCCCACCAGGTGGAACACAATCGTAATGCTGGGTAACCTTTCTTGGTAGGCCTGAAGTTACACTGTCCATCCCTGAAAAATGTACACAAAAAGCTGATTAGGTAAAGAACAGGGTCAAAGCTAACAGTTATTCGTAAATAGTCACCAGCTCTACGTCACTGTCCGATTCAATAATTGTGACCTTTGACCTTAGTGTTTATATCAGAATCAACAGCGGCCTCTTGTGGTTTAACTTTCTGCAGTTGTACATTTACACAATATCGTGCGCAGGAATACTTTACAAACATTCTTGTGTGTGTGTGTGTGGGGGGGGGGGGTTATTGAATATTCACTAGATACCTCAGGGAGGGAGATGATTAGTAAACACAAGTGTTTGAAAGATTTAGGCAAGAGTCGAAATGGTGGAAAAATATATCAACTTTACTGAGAGCACGTGCATCTCCCCCTCTATACAACTGCATGTGGGTTGATAGTTTGTATCCCCACGGAGAAAAGATATGCCCCCTTTAGACTTTCAAAAGTTTATCAGTTTCCGGTAATAACCGAAACATGTTCTTTTGTCGTGTTTGGAGATTTGTTTATCAATAACAAAACATTGAAAGAGTTTGGTTAATTTCACTGCCATTAGATGTCTCTGATATTCTAAAAATAAACCTGGCACTGGGTGATTTGTTTATCAATAACGAAACATTGAAAGTTTGTGGTTAATTTCACTGCCACTAGATGTCTCTAATATTCCATACTTTCAACAACAAATCTTTAAGTCAACCGAACCAATATTGTATAATTTTTGGTAGAGTCCACGTGATATCCAGAGAAGTTAAAATAAAATATAGGGTTCTGTAGCGCTTCATCCGGGGGGGGGAGTCGTTTGTTGTGGGGTTTTCTACGGATACAGTGGCCACAGTTAACCACTATCATCGTTCTCTCTATGTCTTTCGACGATTTTGTGAAGTCTAAAAGTAGACGGGATTCTTTAAGGCTGTTTGGTATTTATTATTAACACCAACGTAAATTATTCTCTAGCGCGTCCTCTGGTTTGTTTTTTCTGCAACTGGTATCCCGTTATGATCACTTCCACATTTTCTTCAGTGGTACCGGTAGCACGTCGATCACTTTGTTACCTTACACTTGGAAGCTTTAAATCCGATGTTTCTGACGTCTGTCTTCCGAGATACGAGTCATCTTGACTGAAAATCTGCTAGTTGTCTTTACAGTTCCTGATTGTTATTGGTTTTACAAGAATCTATACAGATACTGTATTACTCTAACGTCATCACCCCAAGAAAAGCTCACTAAAACATTTTCCCCATCGTCCATAAAGTAATTACTATTTCCTCCCCAGTTCTTTTAAATTTTTGGGGATTGACAAACACTGTTGGATTCCTCATATTCTGTAAAATTTGCAAGATACTTAAGGAAATACCAGATGTGTACTTCTCGAACGCACGTGATCTAGTTTACTTAAGAGTTTTGTTGTTAGAAATATACCTGAATACAATAATTACTCCTCTTATCAACGAAGTCTTGAAAATTTAGATTTTTCTCAGTACATTTTGTTTCAAAAGTTAAGAACAAATGTGTTTGGGGTTATCCGGATTTTTGTTTGTTACCTATTCTTTTTCTTACACTAATTATCCTGAACGAACTTGAAGAATATAAAAAAGATGTTAGAACAAATCCTCTGGAAAAAAATATACAAACTTGTGTTCTCATCTTTTATCGTGCCCCTCAGCGGTAAGTCTGCGAACTTACAACGCTATAAACCAGGTTTCGATACCCGTGGTGGGCAGAGAACAGATAATCCATTGCGTAGCTTTGTGCTTAATTACAAACAACAACAACAACTTTTATGGAGTATATTCCTTATTACAAATTTGAAGATTTACCGCTAAATAAAAAATAATTTACATTCTCGTAAACTTTATTCTATTATTTCAACTTGTGCTTCACACATAAATGATGTTTGTAGAGAGAAGGCTTAACTCTTGTTGGCCCCGGGAAGTGTTCACGCGTGCATGCTTTTCTTTGCGAGACGAACTAAATACTAGCTACTCAAAGTATTGTATTTTGGAGATGAACAGGATGAGGAAGGAGATTTGATTAGGCATTGAAGCAGAACCTAGTTCTACATTCTGACAACGAATAAATAATCTTAGGCCATTCTTTGACTGTGGGGAAGGGGGTTGTACCTGGCAGGCCACAGCTATTCTTTCTACTACAGATTTTAATTTTATCATGTGAGAAACAGAAGTTTTATATTTTCAGATTTTGGTAGGACCAGACAGATTATGTTTACATCTATATCCAGTTCTTTTAAGTTCATGACAAATTAACGCTTAATTTTATCGTGAAGAATACTTGTTTTAGTACAAACTGTACAACGGGCTATATGCTCTTTATATGTGCTGGGTATCGAACATCCAATTTTAGTGCTATCAGCCCCTAAGCTTACCGCTGAGCCAATGGGGTACAGAACAATAGATAAATATTTTTAAGAAGCTACCAGTTGTTTGGCTTACTTCGATGTACACTGCCCCCTAGTGGTCCAGTGGTACAACCGAAGGCTTATATACCGCTAAAAATCGAACTTCGATAATTAAAAAATAAAATATTTTCTTCGTACACCAAGTATAAAAACTGATGAAAAAAAAATACTTACTTTGAACAAATATCATAAAATCTATCAGTGTGTTCTGTACTTAAAAACATTGTTGAATAACAAACAATATTAACATTTTGGTAGAACCATACAGATCACGTTTAACTTTAACCAGTCAGATGTTGTTCACAGATATTTTAACTTGATAACACTTTAACCAGTCAGATTTCACCTGACCACAGATGTTGTTCACGGAGATTTTGACTTGATAACACTTTAACCAGTCAGATTTTACCTGATCACAGATGTTGTTCACGGAGATTTTAACTTGATAACACTTTAACCAGTCAGATTTTATCTGACCACATATGTTGTTCACAGAGATTTTAACTTGATAACACTTTAACCAGTCAGATTTTACCTGATCACAGATGTTGTTCACGGAGATTTTAACTTGATAACACTTTAACCAGTCAGATTTTACTTGATCACAGATGTTGTTCACAGAGATTTTAACTTGATAACACTTTAACCAGTCAGATTTTACTTGATCACAGAGATTTTAACTTGATAATAGATTTTAGTTTTTTCATGTCGTACAGACCTGGGAATGTGGCCAACACACTGAATCGTATCTTCGTCCAATCTTACCTGTGGTACAAACCCGGGGGGATCAAGGAGTGGCCAAACCGGAAAGCTGCACTCTGGAAGACATGGGATATTCCAGGATGAACGTCAGGGTTGTATCCTGGAACACACAGATACAAACGATGGTTTACGAAACAAATATTGTTGAGTATTCCGTGTCAGTTTGAGAAATGAATTCACCTTATATTGTGGTGTGGGGTATTACATGTAGTGTCTTTTGTTGATTTTCATTACTAGAGGGCTAACTCCACTAGCCATCACTAGTTTTAAAGTAATAGACTAGTGTGAAGGCAGCTAGTCACCACCCGTTGCCAACTGTTGGGTTACTCTTTACTAAAAAAAAGTGGGGTTGATCGTACATTATACCCCCCCCCAAAAAAAAAAGGTTTGAAAGGACGAGGATTTTCGGTGTTGGAATTCGATCCCGCGAGTCCAGTACTCCTAAACGTCAGACCCATCTCAAGGTAGAGTCCTCGTTCAGAGCCTGGTAAGTTTGGTCTAGGTCCTGCAGTAATTGATTCATCTTTCTTACATGAATTGACCGAGGGTGCTACTTGCTGTTTCATGGAATAGTTACATTACCTTAAATCTTCCTAAGTACGAGATAAATTTACTAGTTTTATGTGGAGAATAAATCCTCTTGATTCAGCTTCTCATCTCTTCTGATAACAAATGCCTACACATACTTGGTCCACGACTCTTGATTCTCATCTCTTCTGATAACAAATACATACACATACTTGGTCCATGACTCTTGATTCTCATCTGATAACAAATACCTGCACATACTTGGTCCACAAGTCACTACATTTGTCGTTTGATTCAGCTTCTCATCTCTTCTTATAACAAATACCTACACATACTTGGTCCACGAGTCACTATATTTGTCGTTTGAGTCAGCTTCTCATCTCTTCTTATAACAAATACCTGCACATACTTGGTCCACAAGTCACTACATTTGTCGTTTGATTCAGCTTCTCATCTCTTCTTATAACAAATACCTACACATACTTGGTCCACGAGTCACTACATTTGTCGTTTGATTCAGCTTCTCATCTCTTCTGATAACAAATACCTACACATACTTGGTCCACAAGTCAGTACATTTGTCGTTCCACATACTTTTTACTTGGAGAGACAGTGTGTGTGTGTGTGTGTGTGTGTGTGTGTGTGTGTGTGTGTGTGTGTGTTTTGCCGTAGCAAAGCCACACTGAGCCATCTGTTGTGTCCACCGAGGGACATCGAACCCCTGATTTTAGCGTTGTAAATCCGAAGACTTACCGCTGTGCCACCGGGGGACTACTGGAGAGTGAGCGCCTCATCTGTTCTGGATTTTGGGAGTACCAGCTGTACTTAAATTACTGATGAAACATGTAAAGCGACATTTTTTGTAGTAGGTCACTAGTTCAAACTGTAGAAAGACCATAATCCTTTATTTTAAATTGAAACTTTTTGTGATAATATTACATATTGTGATACAGGTTAGCCTTTAACATAGGAAAGGGGGATGGTAACTCCCTATCTAATTACGTAGTTACGTTTTCTAATTGATTCAAATGTCTTATTTGTCATGTAACTATAAGTAAACAAAAGTTCTCACATTCGCCAAATATCCAATAAAATCGATATTCTACCGATTAAATTTTCCAGTTAAAACGTGACATTTTCTTCTTTCCGAAATATCGAAAAAACAGGGCTTTTTTTTTTTACTTGAAATATGACCATTTCTGCTGGCAAAGAACTAAGACAGCATTAAATATATAAAACAAACTGCATCATTCTTAACCCTAATCTACACTCGTCGTGTAGAAGTCGTAACAAGCTGCATCATTCTTAACCATAATCTACACCAGTCATGTAGAAGTCGTAACAAACTGCATCATTCTTAACCCTAATCTACACCCGTCATGTAGAAGTCGTAACAAACAGCATCATACTTAACCCTAATCTACACCCGTCATGTAGAAGTCATAACAAACAGCATCATACTTAACCCTAATCTACACCCGTCGTGTAGAAGTCGTAACAAACTGCATCATTCTTAACCCTAATCTACACCAGTCATGTAGAAGTCGTAACAAACAGCATCATTCTTAACCCTAATCTACACCCGTCGTGAAGATGTAACAATCAGAATCATACTTAACCTTAATCTACACCCGTGTAGAAGTCGTATTATGATAATCTTACAGATCGCACTCACCCGTATACTCAGCAAGATCTTCACCCAGGAGCGCTGGCAGGAATTCATACATAATGACGTTCTGCAAACAGAATCAAAAGGATTTTTTTTTAGTTATTTTTCATATAGTGGGCAACATTTTCAACACATGGTTTACATTCATAAAAAAAAAAATTAAAAAAATGACAATACTGGTCTATCCGCTTCCCATTTCGTTCATCTCGGCAACTATGTTTTCATTGTAGAAAGTATAATAACGAGTTAGCACTATAACAGACATGGCACCATGAAATTGGCACTAGTTTTCTCAAACCCAACGAAATGTGATTACATGATTGAAATATCATTGAAATGAGGAAGTGTTTATTTCGCCAGTGTTAAAAATGACTAACTTTATATATACACTCCCTAGTTACGTTTTGTCACGTTTATAGTAGTTCAAGCACTATTTACTTGACAACGTCAAAATGAACTAATTATTCACACAAATGTACCTAAAAAACATTGAAGCAGTTTTGGAAGAAAGTTGGAAGTTTATGAATAACAACAGTACAAATTTTTGAGTGTGACTTATATGTTATTAGAAATCCTACAACAGAACAACTAGGTGGATAAATGGTTCACACAAATATCTTTTTTTTTTTTAAAGTCATAAACCTTATTGGTAATGCTAGGGTTAACTGATCTAATCTGATAAATTATCCATTCAAGAACTTGACTTATTTTCACTACCTCAACATAAAAATAAAAAAATCCTCAAATGTTATTCCTTCAGCTGATTCTGTGCTAACAGTTCCTGTCCTGTCAACTCGTCCCGAGATGTTTACACTTCCTGTCCTGTCAACTCGTCCCGAGATGTTTACACTTCCTGTCCTGTCAACTCTTCCAGAGATGTTTACACTTCCTGTCCTGTCAACTCTTCCAGAGATGTTTACACTTCCTGTCCTGTCAACTCTTCCAGAGATGTTTACACTTCCTGTCCTGTCAACTCTTCCAGAGATGTTTGATTGTGTCCAAACAAATTTTTCACTTAACACTAATAGACCCTACTCTCACCAGATCCTTTCAACTGTCCTGAATTGTCCCCCCTCCCGAACTGATACTGTCAAAATATTCCATATTTAGCGTTAATACAACTAGTTTTATCTAACTGTTCTGGTCTTGAAATGTTGCCCATGAAATGATTCTGTTAAATTAAAATTTCCATATTTAACGTTAATACAACTAGTTTTATCTAACTGTTCTGGTCTTCAAATGTTGCCCATGAACTGATACTGTCAAAATATTCCATATTTAACGTTAATACAACTAGTTTTATCTAACTGTTCTGGTCTTCAAATGTTGCCCATGAACTGATACTGTCAAAATATTCCATATTTAACGTTAATACAACTAGTTTTATCTAACTGTTCTGGTCTTGAAATGTTGCCCATGAAATGATTCTGTTAAATTAAAATTTCCATTCATTGCTATGGATCCGCTCTCAACGTTTCTTTCAAATTTTATTAAGTGTACAGACAACTGTTTCCCTACTTCATGAACAACCTTTTAATGGGATTAATTTCAATGACTTCCATCAAAAACACATTTCAACTTGTGACAAAAACAAAATTAACACGTCAATAATGAAAAAATGTTTTTAAAATAAAATCTTACTTTTTTTTAGTTTTAGCACATCAACAAAACAATTCTGATAAATATAGCCCTCTAGTGTGTAATAATAACAACATGCAGTATTCACAATAATCAAAAATTAGGTAGAAAAAAAGAAAGACGCTGCACGAGTTTTAAACAAAATTCGGCTTAAAGATCTTTGAAATTATCGAAATGAAAAAAAAAATCAATTATATTTCCTGGAAATAAATATCAATCCAGGTTCTAAACGTACCACAAATGTTTTAGTTTAATAATACAATTTAACTTCCATTCTGAATAAGAGTTCGCGTGATAAATGAAAATATAACCGTTCAAACACGCATGCACCACATGCAAATATGAGGGTTGCAAAGACGGCCACTGCTAAAAATAGTAAAGTATTATTCTTAATTGGGTTAAATTACGTAAATCCAAGCAAAAAAAAAAGTACTTATCAGTTAGCCAGGATGATACTTCTAGTTTATCAAACACGGTATTGGTTATTGACAATGTCATAACTTCTAGTAGGTACGCCCCTTCATGGTTAGGCTTATTATAATGAAAGCTTTGGGCGGTCCATATAATTAATTGCTACCACTGGCTTACTTGTAAGCTTTTAATACTGTTACTAAATGGATGTAAGATTAAAACATTTGTTGCTATTTTTCTTCTTCTTACTTTGAAAAAGGTATTTAAGAAAATTGTTGCTGTTAAAAAAAAATCCAATCTCACACAGTTTATAATATTTTATGTTATCGTTCACTGGACAACAGTCGGTATAGAGGCTAACTAGATCACCGGACAGTCGGTACAGAGACCAATCAGGATTCGTCATCATTCTTAATACGAGTAATTAAAGCAACTGAACCATAGTTTTTATTCCAATATAAGAGATTTCAGCATTACAACATCGCGACTTTTATGACGTCCCAAGAATCTTAACACTGCAATAAGGACGTTTTAAATATCTTAACTACGATTAACACGTTCCCTGCAATGTGTCCCACCGGCGGGTCACAATCGACTTTTAGTTATTGACCGCGTGACACTCTGGTGGATCACAGACAATTGTTTGTTTGTCTTGAATTTCGCGCAAAGCTACACGAGAGCTACCTGCGCTAGCCGTCCCTAATTTAGCAGTGTAAGACTAGATGGAAGACAGCTAGTCATCACCACCCACCGCCAACTTTTGAGCTACTCTTTTACCAACGAATAGTGGGATTGACCGTCACATAATAACGCCCCAAGGCTGAAAGGGTGAGCATGTTTGGTGTGACGAGGATTCCAAACCGCGACCCTCAGATTGCGAGTCGAGCGCCCTAATCACAGACAATTGTGTTTCACACACACACTTAATTTATTACGCGGCAGCGAACGTGTTAAATACCATGAGTAGCATAGAAAAACAATTTTAATACTAGACAGATGACAGTTAATTGTTATCCAGGTTAATTAGGACTATAGACATTGTTCAAGTGTCATAATACATCACACAAAAGAGCAGACTTCATAATCATAGCAACAACGCAGGTACGGAAAAATCAATTTTCATAGAGGACTGGAGATTTTCCCAAGTATTTTAAACACAATAGGATTTATTATATAACTGAAGGTTGTATAACTATACAAATAATGATTTTTTTTAGTTCATCTTAATATCACCGTTTTTGTTTTAACGCACAGATACATAATGGTCTATCCGCACTCTGTAGGGTATCGAACCCCCGATTCTGGCGTTGTAAATCCGTAAACTTACTGCTGACCCACCGAAGGACAGATTATTATGTCAGTATAGGTCCTAAGGCAATGTGCGCTCGCGACAACTAACTGAACTTAAAATAAGTTGTGTTCTAATCTTCTGGAAAGTGTAAGACATCTACTAATAAATATGGCACCTGCTTGTGAGGTATCTTCTTGAAAGACTAAAACGGTTATGACACTTACTTGTAAAGTGGCAATTACCCATTGTCTGGCTCTGTGGAAAACATCTTCGTCCGACCACTCGGGATGTTCCTCTTGGATTCTTGAGGCCAGGACATTATGCCAGCGGAAAAAGAGAATCCCAAAAGACAAGAGAGCTGGGTCCTGGTTGGTTTGAGGATTTCCAAGAACTGAGGAATCGTTAAAATTAGGGGTTTTGTATAACATGGGTAATTTACCCGTTGAAGAACTGCACGAGTCTCAAGTTAAAATATTAAGTAATTGTTCGATAAATAAGTGACAATAATATTATCACACCCTAAATAACCCTTACTTCAGTTACTTTTACTCAGTATCTTAAAGTTGAATATTGATTTTAGTTTTTTAATAATCGTTAAAGAATTTCATAATATGAATTAAACGCAATGCAAGGTTTTTCAAAACATTATTTTATTTATATGACTGTTGTTACTATGTGTCCAGCATACGTTAGCCTAACTTTGAGAGTTGAGTAGATATCCTTTCAAGTATTAGCTAAGCGCGACATCTATACACAGATTTACGTACTGTGCTTATCCTTTATTATTATTATTAGATTCTGCAAGACAATATTTTACTTGTTTAATAATTAGCTCTAAACTTCCGCTTCTTGTGACATAGAAGTTTGGGTATTAAAACTACAGTTAAACAAGAAGGAATTAGAAAGTATTAGAATAATTAAAACTAACTAAAAATTACTTGCTGTTGAAATACTTGAAAAACGAAAAAAAAAAGTGAGAGAGCATTATCGTTAACTTTCTGCATGGTAAAATTCAAAAGTTTGATGATTCAAGTTGTTATACAAAATTAATAAATGCAACAAACAAAAAAGTCATTGGCATTACCACACACACACACACACACACACACACAAACTGTTCGCGGGTAATAAACTGATGTTTTATATAAGAAATGGACCAACGTCGCTACTTGTTTCCTTAGAATAACGATGTTTCGAGGTTCAAACACATGATTCGTTAAATTAATTCTGATTGTTCACTGGCGATAAATGTTAGTTTAATATTGAACTTAAAATAACAGCGATCTGGTACCAGGCAACTTGTTTTATAAGTAAAGCAACAACAGCTTTTAAGGCAACACTTCTCGTTTCGACAAGTAGAGTGCGCTCTAAATAAATCCGATAATTGTGTTCCACTTGTTCAGTCTTCAAGAAAACGGTTTGAGAGATAGCTTCCACACTTCGGTTGATAGAATTTGATTATTTTGATAAACGAGCGTTTTTATTTGTTATATAATTCTCAATTAGCCAGTTAAATGAAGGTTTTTTTCGCTTATACACTCCATAAAAACGTTCTGCCATGTTTGAAGAAGGAGTTTGTTTAGGCATTAGGCCTAGAATTACCGTTGGTATTCGTAGACCCCATTGACTGTTTAAACAATTTATTTGTGCAGCAGACTACTTGCGAGTCCAGCCTTTATTAGTTACAGGTTCCCTAATAACGTGCGAGTCAGGCAAGAACATTTAGATAAAATATTTATAATATTGTAATATATCTGCTGGGGTCTCGCGTGTATTATACACTTTTTTTTAATCAATTCTTGATAGTACTGTAACAGACAAAACCTGAACTTTTTTCAATATGACGTAATATATGGACCCTGCCGGTAGTGATGTTATAAAAAACAAAGAAATCTGTAATTTGAGGTTCACGTGGAGCCAAACAAATAACTTTTGAATAATACTATTACTTGCTGGTCTGATTTCCAAACAAATTAAATTGGGAGTGGCCAATAACCCATATCTGTACCAATAATTTAAAATGGGATAAATGAAACGGAAGAAAAGGAAAGAAATGAATTGTAGCAACTGGTTCCAAGTTTCACTGGAAACTTGCTAAAGGTTTTCTTTTTTGAACTGATAGTCTGGAGTAGGGATACCACTTTTGATGCGCTAATAGGTTTAACACTGGCAATGAAAAAAAAATCACTTAAGTTAAAACAAAAATTGTGGTTGGTTGACTGACTAGAATAGATCCAGATTAAATTCAGCATCCCACCGACCTTGGAAATGCTTCAGATTGCACCATTTTGCAACCATGCACTTTACCACCCGTTAAAATTTAGCTTTTTCAGAAGTTCCATTCATATTTCTAAGAGCTGGCAGCCATGTTAGGCCTACAGTATTCTAGTCTAGATCTTTGAAATATCCATACATAAAAACAACTAACTCGTTAATAATTTTTTAAATTAAATTTTGACTAGCACTAAAGAATTCTTAAAGAGAGTTTCAGGTGGAGCGCTAAGTATACAACTTAATTTAATATGAATAAAATTGGATTACTAATACCAACCACCAAAGTTTTCTCTTCCCTACTGATAATGAACAGACTATACATTGTTGAGTTTCACACAAAGCTATTCGAGAAATATGTGCTCTAGAATTTAGAAGAGGGGGAAGGTAGTGAGTCAACATTATCCATCGCCAATTCTTGGGCTACTCATTACCACCGAAAGTTAGGGTTTATCATTAAAATCACTACAAAATTGACGCCTGTCGGCGAACTTTGTAACAAATAATTCCGAAACTTAACAAGTAGGTACGTGTGTTAATAAAGCTATTTACTGCCGTTAAGCCAGAATTGATTTGTTCATTTCCAGTAATTACGCTAGTACTTAAAACGTTAAAAAAGCAGCAGAGTGCGAGATAAGTGTGTACCCTTACTCTGAGCTCCCACGTGTGCTCGTGCACTCTAGCATGGTCTGATAAATTTAAGCTGCCTATTAAAATTAACCTTGTGAAGACGTCACAACACTCACACAAATATAACATTAACAACATTTTTACACACGGAATAATCTCTCCGGATTCACTTTTCCGAAATAATTGGGTGGTGGAAAATTGAACAGTGGCGCCCTCTCAGCGTTTTTTGGCGGATAGTTTCCATCCTTGCTTTGACGAAACGTTCCATTTTTGAAAGATCTCATGGAATTCACCCAAGCTGTACTGGTGCTGTAGACAAAACACCCGTCAAGCCAGCTTGTTACCATATTTATCTAAAAAAAAAAATAAAGTTGCGAAATGACTATTGTACAATGTAAACGATAAACTAGGCCTAAAACAAACAACGTTACAGGTATGAAACAAAGAATTAAAACTATAATACAAAGTACTAGGTAAATAAAATATATTATACGATAAGATGTACATTAAGTTAGATAAATTCAGTGATAATACACTGTCTACTAGATGTGGCCTTTACACGCGTTAAACGAAACTAGCTTAAGCATTAAGAGCAAGTACAAACTAAAACCCCACAGCGTCCCCCCCCCCAATCTAAAGCTAAGATTCGCTGTCTGGGGACATTTGTTTGATGTTTCTTAATGCAAGAAGAATAAAACAGGTTATTTGGGATAATGAATGAAATTTAATCTTAATATTAGTGTTTCAGGTCCTGTAATGAATCCCGAACCTTAAGGGACAGAACAGTGGGGAATAAAACCAGAAACAGGAACGTCCGCAGAAGTTTTTCCAGGGAGGAGCAAAGTAGAGCGAGATTATGAATTGAATAAAAAATCATATACATATGCTGAATGAATAAAGAAAGAATTGCGTTTCTAATTTTCCAGGGGGGGCAAGTCCCCCCTACGGATGCCCATGGCCAGAACCCATCTCCCCATTCGAACAGCGATTAAAAGCCAGAACGCTTGCCAGTGTATAACCCACGTGGTTAAGACTAAACACCTGGAAGTGAAAAAGGCTCTAGACATCTAGAGAGTAAATAAAACTTCCCAGGAGAGCAATAACCCATTCCTTAATGATCTACTGTACGTGTTGGTGAAACCGTACAATCCGGTTTCTTGAAGTACAATTTCACAATCAGCTTTTATTGCATCAAAGTTTACAACAAAATGCAAACAAGACAGACAAAATAACAATAAAACCCTTATTAAGTCTTACATACACATAACTAATACGGTTGAAATATCCATAAATAGTGTGCGTGTTCAGTCATTTATAGAGTGAGATATAATCGCCAGAAGCCTTTAAAACAGCTTTGTTCTGAACGTCACATAGGTATTGTGACGATAAGTTTATGGATATTCTTTTAACTGTCAGTTGTTGTATTCAGGAAACTTCCACGAGGTGGTAGACGTTTTCAACACACCACGTGATTGGTAGGCATGGTAAACGCAGGTTTTAAGATGCGCAAAAGTAACCGTTTGACACAATCTAGCAAATAGTTATTAAATGTTCCGCTAGGATGCGAGATGGCCTTTACAACATTTCTCAGGAGATTCTAGTCACGAGAACTTTAGGTCAGTTGTGTTGCGTCTACCGCGGGTATCGAAACCAGATATTTAGCATTATAAGCTGTCAGACTTACCGCTTAGTCACCAAGGGGGCTACAGAGTGAAAAAAAAGTGATTTTTAAGCACTGTAAATGAACGTATTGAATGACGAACTCTTCAAATCCTAATGATAACACGCAGAAAATACTTAAATTTCTCAGGGTTTTTTTTTTTCTCTTTTCAACAGGTATATCTACAGTCTCCTTTTTTATGTCTAGCAGAATATTACTTTATTTAACACGAGTAACACGAAGATCGTGCTGGTCTTGGAAAGCGATAACATGAGTAACACGAAGATCGTGCTGGTCTTGGAAAGCGATAACATGAATAACACGAAGATCGTGCTGGTCTTGGAAAGCGATAACATGAATAACACGAAGATCGTGCTGGTCTTGGAAAGCGATAACATGAATAACACGAAGATCATGCTGGTCTTGGAAAGCGATAACATGAATAACACGAACATCATGCTGGTCTTGGAAAGCGATAATGCGAGTAACACGAACATCATGCTGGTCTTGGAAAGCGATAATGCGAGTAACACGAACATCATGCTGGTCTTGGAAAGCGATAATGCGAGTAACACGAACATCATGCTGGTCTTGAAAAGTATAACACGAGTAACACGAACATCATGCTGGTCTTGGAAAGCGATAACGCGAGTAACACGAACATCATGCTGGTCTTGGAAAGCGATAACGCGAGTAACACGAACATCATGCTGGTCTTGGAAAGCGATAACGCGAGTAACACGAACATCATGCTGGTCTTGG